CATCCAACAAGAGGTTGGACAATAGGATTCCCGTCAACCTGCACCTTGCTGCCCATGAGTTTATGTGGAAGCCATGGACAAGGCTGCGTTCTTGGGAATGTGTAGCACAGGACAGCCCAACACAGACCAGGTCTGATCAAATGCTCCGCCATCTAGCCCAGCTTAAGTCCTGCAGGCACCCAGAGAAGGGGACTGCAGTAGTAGCTAGAGGCACCAAGAAGGCTTACTGGAGGTTCTTCTTTCTCCTTCCAAGAGTCTGAAGTAACAGATGAATATGGTGACATTTGTTGGAGAAAACAAACAAGCAAACAAACATTCTTCTGGTTTGTCTTACTCTCAGTCCAACTGGCAAGGCTTGCCCCTCTCCTGCCTCCAAAAAAGGACCATTGAGCAAAAGCCACTTCCTCTACTAGACCTCACTCTGAACCTAGCTTTGTATATCTGAGATAGTCTTCCTTTTCTCTTCCACTTAGGAATACACAAAAGTACATTTCCCATCTGGACCTGTTTCGAGCCATTCTCCCTCAAGGCTGATCTTACGTTCCTGGTTGTGGACAGCTTGCCTGACCACGGCCTCACCACAAAGCATGGAATGGGTCCCCAAAGTTTGACCAGCTCTATGATCTCTCTCTCTCAGGGAGGGCTCCTGAGCAAATGATTTTCAGTTTCAGTTCATTTGTTTTTGTTTTCCATTTGGTTGCCCAGGGCAAACATCTACCCTGAGAGTTTCTCCCCTGGGACCATCTGTGCTATCATTGCTTGCCTCAGAGCAGATGTGTAAGGGGTCCCCCAGTGCTGAGGCCCTGCTTACCTCTTTTGTTCCCCAGAAGAGGTCACTATGTGATTAAGAAAAATGGTAGCTTGGCCCCAGCCCCTAGCCATCCCCCCGCCCCGCCACTGCCAATCAATGCAGTCCTCAGCCATTAATAACCAGACCCCACAAAGCCACCCAGTCCTTCCTAATATTCTCAGCATTGATTTTATTATCACTGTTATTGTGAAAAATATTCATAGCACTACATGGTGATCATCACCACATCAGTCTTGCTTTACAAAGATGCCGGCATGACAATCATTTTATTTCTGCCCCAGACTGCCCCTCCAGCTGCTACCTAGCCTAGTTTAGAGGGAAGAAGACTGAAGGACGAAGAGCTAAACTGGGTTACATAAAGAGAATCAGCAGCCAAGGTGGGATGAGAACCGATGTCTCCTGAAAACAAGTTCTGATGTTGAAAGAAAAGGTGCAGAGTTTCATTGGCTGAGCCACCCTTCCTAGGCAGGAGTGAAGGATTGAAACATGGTAACAATTCAAGGTGAGCAGTGCCACTCTGCAAAGGCAGAAGCAGGGGTGATGTGAAAGCCAGTGGCTTAGCTAGAGGGCAGCTCAACCTTCTTTCTGTTTTCAGGGTTCAGAAAGTAAACCGTGGAAACCAAGCGACAAGGATGAGTGGGGCAGAAGAACCCACTCAGCCACCATGGGGGTGGGACTGAAGATCAGCCTAGTGCACTGTGGAGTCTTGGTCACTGAAAGAAGTACGTGAGATGCACAGAATGTCATTCTCAGTTCTCGGTTTCATATTATGTATGGAGAAAAACTGGAGATGTGGGGGGGGGCGGTGGTCAGATAGTGACTTCCTGGAAGCTTATGAGGCTCACAGCAACAGGACCTTAGAATACAAGAACCCCAGTGGTCTGGATGATTAAGGAGGAGGAAACTCAACAGCGATATCATAAGAAGAAGGAAGAACACAGCCGAACACACCATCAAAGCTGCCTTCATTGTTGTGAATGAATTCTAAGTGACCGTTCAGGTTTGGACATACACTCAGACTTCAAAATCCCAAAAGCAGAAGTCATACCACCAGGATCCCAAGCCTGAGAAGCCAGGTTGCAGAAACATCCAACTGGCCAAGCCAAGACATTTGCTCAGCTCTGGCAGCCTAGGGATGAGGGCTGAGTCTAAGCTGTCTGACGTCTGTGGTAGGTAGAGGCCACTACTCTCCAACAAGACTACAAAAAAAAAAAAAAAAAAAAAAAAAGAGGGGCACGTGGGTGGCTCACTTGGTTGAGTGTCCAACTTCAATTCAGGTCATGATCTCACAGTTCATGGGTTCGAGCCCCAGGTTGGGCTCTGTGCTGGCAGCCCGGAGCCTGCAGCCTGCTTCGGATTCTGTGTCTCCTTCTCTCTCTGCCCCTCCCCTGCTCACGCTCTGTCTCTCTGTCTCTCAAAAATAAATAAACATTTAAAAAAATGACTACAAAACAGAAGAGATCCTATACCAGCAGGGAAGGCTGGATATGGCCAGCTCCCAAAATGAAATCTATGAGAGCCTACCACACATGGGATTGATACGCATCCTTATAAATCCAATGGTTCCTGCAAAGAGGATGTGGACTACTCTAGCATCTATGGTGAATATCAATCACATCAATGATTAAATAAGCATTTAGTATGAATTGAGCAGTGCAATGAGTGCTATATATGTATATTATCATATTTATTTTTTGCAACTGCCCCTGCAAGAGGTTTTATGTATTCTATCTTACAGAAGAGAAACCCGAGACTCAAAGAGGCAAGACAGCTTTTCCAGGGTTGCTCAGCTTACAGTCAGAATTGTAAGTCAGATCTAGATACCTAGGCAAAGCATCAGCTTTTTTTCTTTTAAACAGTAGAAACTACCTAATGCTACTAGCCCCTGTGACCCTGTATTTCCATAGCAAGAGGACTTTGAAGAGGGATGAAGGAATGATGGGAGCCAGGTTGGAGAGGACACCATAGATAAGGAAGGGTCTGAACCAAGTTGGCATCTGAAGTCATCCCCAAAAAAGAGAGGGAAGCAATTGGCTACTGGCATAATTCTAACAGTGCATTAGTTCCAGTTTTTATGTTTTGTTACATGGCTCAAACAACAAACAGCCAAGTGTTTGTTGAGCAGGACACTGTGATATGAGGTCCTGTGGATGATGCAAGAACAAATGAGTCAAGATGTTTCTATGTTTTCATTCAACCACCTTGAAATCTTACTGTCTTCCTGGATGCTTGAAAAGCTACACAGCCATTTGAATTATATGGCCTCAGATATTAAGTGGCAAGGGTCCCAAGGAGGCACAGTCTGAATATTCCACAGGGGAATTAACATCTGGGCTCAGCACTGAACCTTAGGTTGGAATAAATAAAATAGAGACAAGAGAGCATTCCTGGAAGGGGGAAGGACATCTGCAAAGCTAAGGAGGAGATCGGCCCAGCTAACGTGGAGAGCTGATGTAGGTTGTGAGACAGAGAGAATCAAAAAGCAGTTTGAAACAGTTTTACCCAGGGATTTTGAACTCTAGGTTAAGGGGCTTGATATTTACATTAATAGAGATGCGAATCTGAGGGAGGTATTTGAGCGAGTTAGGCACATGTCCAGCACCCACTAGAGTTGGTGGAAACTGTCAGATACATGAAACATGTTTGCTAAGTGAATGAATAAATATTATGTATAGGTTAGGCTGGCAAGGAAAGAACAAATCAAGGACACCAGTTAGGAGCCTATCCCATTAGCAGTCTGGGCAATACAGATTGAAATAGAAAAGCCACAGAAAGCTTGGACAATGAAAAGGACATTCTAAAAGGAAAAGAAGATGATTCTAATGCCTGCATTATTTCCTGATTGGTAGTTTGCACCAAGAACAGAGGGACACAATCTTCTAATAACCTCCAAATTCAAAAATCCATAAATCTACCAGAGCAGCTAAAGACGCTATATGCTTGTCTGGAAGTAGAGATTAAGTCAGGAGAAACAACAGAAGAGTTTTTATTTTTATTTTTTTAATTTTTTTTAATGTTTATTTATTTTTGAGACAGAGAGAGACAGAGCATGAACAGGGGAGGGTCAGAGAGAGAGGGAGACACAGAATCTGAAACAGGCTCCGGGCTCCGAGGTCAGCTGCCAGAGCTGAGCAAATGTCAGCACAGAGCCCAATGCGGGGCTCGAACCCATGGACCGTGAGATCATAACCTGGGCCGAAGTCGGACGCTCAACCGACTGAGCCACCCAGGCGCCCACAGAAGAGTTTTTAAAACAGAAAGTAAAAATCTAAAAAACTGAGCCATGTTAAGCTTTGGAGCCAATGTTTCATATTTTTGCTAGCTGGTTCATTGATACTCGATTTAACCTTTGGTGAATGAACAAACACAGCAAAGCAGGTCTCATTGTGTCCATTTTGCAGATGGGAAAAGTGAGGCTCAGAGAAGCCAAACATCTCACAGTGACTTGACTCTAGGTAATCTGATTCCAAGTCCTATTTGTTTTTTGTTCATTGTTGTTTTCTATCCTCCCATATGGCAGAACAAAAGATGAGGAAAACAGAAAGAGAAATATAGAGAAAAATGAAAACCTAGTAAGTCCCACTGCTAGATGGATGCCCCAAGAAATATATGATGGGGCTGCATGAATCTCTACTAAACTTTCTCTTTGCCATAAGTATGAACACTCCCATGTTTACCTAAAAGAATTAGCCGTGAATAATAACCCATTTTCTCTCCTGACAGTGTATATTTTCTTTTTAATGCAGAGACACTGCATATATGTAATTGGTATTTTTTAACAAGCCTGTGTTAGGTCAGTAAATGCCTTGACTTCTCCATTTCCCTCCCTGCATCATCACTTACAAATTCCAGCAGATGCCAGGGAGTTCTCACCCAAGCCAATAAGCCCCAGAATTAAATAAAGCTACACCCTTCTCCCCAAACAAGATCTTACCACTGGGAACAATTCACTTAGTTTCAGCCATTTGGTTTCTTGACAAGAGCCAAAAAGTGCTGAGATCCCTCCCTGGAAGGATCAGAAACCTAGAAGAGGTCATATATGGCATATTCCTTGTGCTTAGCATCCTTCTTCATGACACAGGACCTACCAAGGGCATGACAGAGGTGTCATAAAAGCTTTACAGGGCACAGAGGAGTCCCAAGACTCTGAGCCACAGTCACCTTCGTAAAGATCGGCGGTTGCACCCACCTGTCTCGTAAAGCTTCAACACAGAGGTCGGCCAGATTCCTTTCCGTGTCTTGGGAAGCCTCAACAAGTTATGCTTCCTCATGATGATTCATTCAGACCCGCTGAGTTCCTCTGACAAGGGAGGAAGGATTTCGAGTCAGCCTTCAGCATAACTAGTAACTTCTTCGAGACTGTCACCTGAAGGCTGTGTTTGAGTTTTAAGTCACAACAGCTGGTGACATCCCACTAAAAACCCACACCTCTTCACCTGCACCACCTTCTGCCTTTTCTCTGGTCCCCTGCCAACACCACCGCCTAGCCTTGTTTCCTAAGAAAAATGGCTTCTTTCTGAAACCACAATCCAGTGTCACTGGGATGTATGAAAACTCCTACAGACAGGAGCTGCTCCCACCATATGGGGGCATCTAAGTGGCACCCATGGGTGAAGATGGTACAAAGACATTGTTCCCCTCAGCTCTCTGGGCAACTAAAGCCCCCATGGGAGTTGGCTTCCAGCAGATTCTTCTGTTTGCCCTCTGCCCTTGCTGATGTGTGCCTAAATTATCCTTCCTTATACGTGCCAAGAAGTTTTTTTTTTTTAATGGAAAGCTGTTCTAGATTATTTGGGGATCGACTTGGTAAAGGCTTTTAAAGGACAACTAGGCAGAATTTATCAAATGCCTCAAAAAGTGCATGCCCTTTAAACAGAAATGCCACTACCAATGACTTATTCTATGCTAACAATTAGATGTGAAACTGGAAAAGTATAAGGATATTCATCACAGTGTTGTTTACAATGAGGAAACATTAGAAACAATTTATATGTCTACAAATAGGGGTTTTGTTAAGGTCATTATGGAATAATCATATTATATAATAGTCAGCAGGTATTCAAAATGGTGTAAAAATCATTTCATTGATCTGGCAGGAAATTTATAATATATTATGAAGTACAGAAAAGAAGATAAAAAAACAGTTGTTAGAGTAGTATTATGTTTTTGTTCAAAAATAAAACATTACTATGGTGATATGTCCACAAACGTGTATATTACTAATATAATAAAATCCCGTGGCATGAGGTATTGGGATGGCTTGGTGTATAATTGCTATCATGGTGGTAGGATTGCCTTAAAATTTGGCAGTTCTTCAATTCTTTTTTTTTTTTTAATGTTTATTTGTTTTTGAGAGAGACAGAGACGGAGCATGAGCAGGGGAGGGGCAGAGAGAGCGGGAGACATAGAATCCAAAGCAGGCTCCAGGCTCCGAGCTGTCAGCATAGAGCCCGACGTGGGGCTCGAACTCACAAATCGTGAGATCATGACCTGAGCCAAAATCGGACATTTAACCAACTGAGCCACCCAGGTGCCCCAAAAACTTGGCATTTCTAAAATTAGGCAGGGGCGATTCAGTAGGTTAAGTGTCCGACTTCAGCTCAGGTCGTGATCTTGAGGTTTGTGGGTTCAAGCCCAGCGTAGGGCTCTGTGCTGACAACTCAGAACCTGGAGCCTGTTTCTGATTCTGTGTCTCCCTCTCTGCCCCTGCCCTGGTCACACACACTCTCTCTCTCTCAAAAATAAACATAAACATAAACATAATAATAATAATAATAATAATAAAGTTAGGCAAAGGTGAAGCCTTGAGAGTAAGGGAGAAGATATTTTTCGAAGTGGAAAATCCTTCCTGTGGTCAGTCCCTCAAGAGAAAGGGTGTGTATCTTAGCAATTAAGCATTAAAAAAGAGAGAGAGAGATTTTCTTCCTGGGTCTTTTGTTCCCTGGTAATCTTCTCAAAAGTGTATGAGATCTGTAATTCTTAACAGTGAACTAGTCAGGGAAGGAGATGTCAAGGTCAAAGCTGAATACTGGGTCACTTTCTTTGTGCAATCCCTTAGGAAGTGATCAAATCTTTCTATATTTTGATCTGTTTGGGGGAGCTAATAATAACGATAGTCAAAACTACCATTTGGGGGCCAGATACTTTGTATCCATTATCTCCAATCCCCCCCCCTCCCCCCGCCCCCCCCCCCCCCCCGCGCCCGCCACAGTTGCCAAGATGGACGGGATCATTTTCACATTGCAGGAAGAAATAGCTAACAATCCTGAGCATTTATGCTAAGTCAGACGCTCCCTTAAGATATCTGCTTAGACTCTCAACCTCAAGAACCCCACTTTAGTGTTGAGGAAGCGGGCAAGGACCTGCAAAGAAATGACCTTGACCTTCCCAAGGTCACACAGCTTGTTCATGGGGGGATGGGACTCAGATTCAGGTGGTTTGACCCTAGAGATTCTAACTACTAAGATCTACTCCCAAATGACAGAAACACGGGAAGGTGGGGGGGGGGGGGGCAGAGCACCTCAGGGCCAAAGTGTTAAATCAGCAAGTGTAACACTGGAGGACGGTGTGATGGTGGCAGAAGGATCAAAAGGGAAGTCGCCCTCCCCAGACGGAAAGTCAAATCTCCCAGGGACAGACAGATGCTGACATGGCCGGCTGTGTCCTCTGACACCATGTGGCCCCCAGTCTCTTTGTCCAATGCTAACTTCAGGCAAACTGCATTCCATTTGATTGAGAGAGGTGGCATGTTTTAGTAACATCAAGAAGAAACTCAGCTCTCCCTGTGAAATGTGTCCGTTTGGTTATTTGATACGTGTTGTGGACCCAGGCATAGGTCACAGTGCTATGTTACAAGGCTAAGGTACTCCCAGCTTCATGGTAAACATATTAACAGTCTTAATTACGGACTGTGGCAGACGTGTGAACAAGGGCTCGCAGAAACAGAGAGCAGCACTGTTGGTTCTGTCGGGGAGAGGCGGGCTATGCCAGGCAAAGCCCACGGACACCCATGGCTTTGTCACAGGCTGCCAGGCATCACTCTGCATGCTCTCAGGCTCTCCCACGGGGCTCCACGGGGCAGGAAGCACTTGGCCTTACTCTTGGAACAAGCAAAGGCGTTTGAAGCAAAACTCTCTAAGGGGATCCTCTGAGACCTAAGACAGGCAGTCCCGGCAGCCATCATCAGCTGTCTTTCTCTCCCGGCCTATCGCAACGGTGACAATAGCTGAGGTGACTGAAGGGAATCAGATGAATCTGACCATACATACACTGAGGCTGCCTTCGGACCCAGCATAATAAAGTTCTCCCCCTCACTTTATGTTTCACCTCTTCTAGAAGCTCTTTCAGCTGGATACATATGCCCAAACACACACACACACACACACACACACACACACACACACACACACGCCCCACGCACATACACTCATGCACGTGCCCAAATTCTCCTGAAGCAAATATTATTTTTAAATATTTGAGGGCAGTGACCTGCGGGTCTATTGAACTTGAATTACTGCAGCAGCAATTTCCCTTTCAAGCCAAGCTCACAATCGAGTCAATACCTACGGCCCAGATGCTGTATCACTAAGCAAGGATTTCATGTGGATTATGTCAAAGTGAGCCCAGCACGCAACTGATCCATAATCGTGCTTGCTAAGAGCATTTAGCCTTCCGGCTCCAGCCACTCTGCTGCTTGCCTCAGACTTGTGTCAGGGGCTAATGGCAGAAAAAAAGAGGCAGTGCCATTCAGCTTAATTGGGCAATCATTAGGACTTCCTCCAGTAAAGGAAGGAAGCAGGAAAGCGGCAGCTGACCCCCCCCCCCCCCGACCCCAGGCTGTTTAGGGGTCTTGTGCCCAGGGACTACCTCACACAGGATAAATTTATCTGAAGTTGCCTAACTTCCCAGGCTGATCTAATTAGTAAACACCTTCAAAGGGATCAAGCTGACTTTTGAGACAAAGTCTAGCACATACCGCAAAGGTGGGCAAATAAATATTTAAAGGGCACATCTGTGTAGGTGGAGCGGGGAGGGGAGGACAGATTAGACACAGATAGCAGTTCACTCTGGGAGCTCTGTTGTGTAACTGTCCTTGTCCTTGCCCCTCCACTGGCCAAACGTGCCCCTTCCCCAGGGCTTCTGCGGGATCCGGCTCACTAGACACTCAGCCACCCAGTCTCCAGGAAGCACCCTCCTGAGACCTGATCATAGTGCTGGTCACTCACTACCATAATTGTTTTGGATGTTAGCATTGAACTCGACCCGCTGAAATGACTGCTGGAGTTAACGGTCGTTCTGATTTTTGTTCCACCCAGCAATGATTGAAACAAAAGGACTGACTCTCCATGGAGGGCACTGTGGCAACACCAGCGGTTATCGGCACACCTCTGCGGAAGACCCACCCTGTGTCCAGCATTCCCTGACTCTTCGCGCTTTGGCTGTGGTTTGCACCCAATTATCACGTAGCTCCCCACCACCCAGCTCAAGAACAGCAGCTAACAAAAGCTCATGGTGCACAAAGGAACCATAATCGCTCCACTTCCCCCCGTTAACACTCTGGAAGGACCTGGGACAGAAGCATTATCGTAACTGGATTTAAGCCCAGGAGCCATACTTGGAATTGAAGTTCGGTTCTCTGGAGTGGATCAGATAGGTAGACCAACATAAGCTTCTTCATATGCTTCATTGCACTCGTTGGGGGGAAACTGGGGTTGGTGTTGGGAGAATACCATTCTCAGAACGAGAGCCATGTGCCACACGTTGAGTGGTGCCTGTTCATCATCTCACTTCACCTTCCTTGCAAACCTGCAAACGAGGCATTATTGTCCTCATTTCACAGAAAGTAGCTGAGGCTTCAGTACATGCATTGAGCTACACACACTCCCATCTGTTCTGTTTTGTGTTTAGCATTTATTGGTTTGGTTTTGGTTTCTCTGCTGTACCAGGTATACGTTGATCATTCAGCAAAAATTATAAAATACTTGACGGTAAGATCCTTGTCTATTCTCTTCCCACGGTATTCACAATGCAGAGCTGAGTGTTGGACCCATGTTCATTCATTCACTCATTCATTCATCCATTCACTCAATACATATTTATCAGATGTTAGGGATACAGCTGTTGAGTGAAACCAAAAAGATACTTGTTGTCACGAAGCTTACATGTTAGCTGAGAGAGACCATCAATCAATAAATAAGCAAGCTGCTGAAGGAAGGAAAGAAGGAAGGAAGGAAGGAAGGAAGGAAGGAAGGAAGGAAGGAAAGAAGGGAGGGAGGGAGGAAGGAAGGAAGGAAGAAAAGG